AACGCCTCACTTCTTTCTGGGACTTTTCCAAACTCCCTGAAAACTGCAGTTGTTAAGCCCCTTCTGAAGAAGAGCAATCTTGATAACACCATATTGAGCCAATTATAGACCAATATCAAATCTTCCTTTTATAGGCAAGTGCACTGTATTTTATGTATAATCATTTTCTATTTTTAACAGTTTTAAATTCATTTTAAATCAATTAAAAAAGTTTTTAAATTCCTTGTTTTATTGTTGTGATTATTTTTTTAATGATTATTTTACTTTCTTTTATGTAAAGCACTTTGAATTACCATTGTGTATGAAATATATAAATAAACCTGCCTTGCCTTGCCTTGCCTAAATTAAAAAGTAATGTGTTACTTTACTAGTTACTTGAAAAAGTAATCTGGTTAGGTATCTCGCGTAACCTCCGACACTGATCATAGTTTGTGAAAAGCGTCCATTCAACAGCATCAGCGGTTGTGGGCTGATCTGAAACAATACAACAAACACTAACATGATTATATGACATTTTCAGGTCATGATCCTTATCACTGGCTCACATAAAGCGTTTGCGCTCTATAAAGCCATAGAAGAGGGAGTGAATCACATGTGGACGGTGTCAGCGTTCCAGCAGCACCCGCAGGCTGTGTTTGTGTGCGATGAAGACGCCACACAGGAGCTGCGGGTCAAAACGGTCAAGTATTTCAAAGGTAACACTGACTTAACAACTAGTTGATCTCTCTCTCTCTCTCTCCTGACGGAATGAAGTGAAAACAGGGATATTGTGCATGTAAGAAAATTGTTAATGTTTTTTTTTTCTTCAGGCATTATGGATGTGCACAACAAGATGGTGGAAGAGCCGTAGACTGATATTGATAAGAAGAATAGACACAACAGATTTGTGGTTGTGTATTTACCCAAATTGCACTGTTTTTATATTACTTTATTTCTTTTATTAAACCTCTCAATACCTGATGTATTGAATTAAAATGTGTTTATATAATAATCGACTTAAATGTGACCAAATAAATAACAAATTGATGAATAAATAGACTTAGTACTGTAAATATTAATCTTTGGATTGATAATATGGTATCTCAGTATTTATATGCTGTTATAATATTTAATATTGCCTTTTGTTTTTATAGTTTTATTTTATTTTTAACATATAGGTATATATGTGTGTGTGTATATATATATATATATACACGCACACCTTTATTTTATTTCACTTTTATTTGTCTTTTTTTTTTGTTCAGTTAGTTGCCAAGGTAACATTTCTAATTTAATTTTTTTTGTTTTTTTTTGTTTTTAGTTTTAATTTTATTTAATATTCATCTAATATTTATATTTTATTGTATTGTATTTTATTTAAGCTTTATTTCAGTTCATGAAAACATGTTTAAATAGTTTTAGTTATATACAACACTGGCGGAGGAGGGCAATGACATGCTTAACTGTACAAGAATTACCATTTTATTTTTTTTTATTATTATTGTGTGAAACTATTAGACTAAAGAAACATTTCCCCACCATGCAGGTGAAAAGTCATAAAAACATTTCCAATATCGCAATGGACAAAATAGGCAGTTCAGTGTAATCAAGTTCATACATGACTGAGCAAAAAATAACTCAGTGATTCACAATGGTTGGGAATAAGACGTGCCCTCAGGAGTCAAGAAATTACAGCACTCAACAGACTGCACTTACAGAAATACTGAGTGTTTACTACTGTACTGGGACTCTAGCCATTGTAAATGAAAGTATAAAGGTTCAAAGGTACTTTTAGTTCAACCGTTAAGCAGAGTTACTAATGGAATTTTCTCTTTAATTGGTGACATAACAACAATCTGCACTGACATAAATACACCCACGGGCTGTGTTCAAAACCTAGTGAGCTGCCTGAGCGGAGCCAAGTTCGAAACACGTCTATAACAGCTGAAATGCTGTCTAGGTAGGCAGCACACTAGGCTTTGAGACAGAGCCGCACTGAAACCGACTGAGCATGAGCAGTCGCCATTGTTTGGGCTATAGATTAGCCTAGTGCTGTCAACCTGACTTCATTCGAGAATATTGTAATTAACGAGCAGTCTGTTTGTGATATTAAGTAAAAGTTACGTTAAACTAGTGATCATTACTGTATGAGTGATTAAGTGAAGAGATCGACGCGGAAGAATGACGGATCAGAGGAGTGGATATCAGCAGGTAACGTTAACAAACCTGGGGCCTGTTTCATAAAACAAGTTTTTGTCAGCTGATTTGGTTAAAAATAAACCAGACCAACTGAAATAAACCTGGATTATTTGGTAAACTTGTTTTATGAAACAAGCCCCTGATATAGCTCATTTGTTTGTTTGTGAGCGACTTGTTTTCTTTGAGGTTAATAGTTTTATGAACATATATCGAGTCGATGAGATTTTGATCATAATTTCTCAGAGTCTTAACTAATGTTTTGAGAAGAGAGAGGATAAAGTCGGATGGATTAATTAGCTGGTTAGCCGCTCCTTCAGCGGCCTTCAGTTAGCATTAGCAGTAACAACAAACCGAAACCGGAAAAACCAAGAGCTCACGATGATTAAGTATAGAATGTGAATACAATATAGTCCGTACTTTATTATGAATTATCAATATATTAGGTTGTCATTCCGATCAAGTGTTGTTTGCAGTGATATTTGATCTCATGTAAAACAGTGTTAAAGTTCATGACTTACAAGAAGACAGAGGTGAACCTATTTAGTTTTGTGAATGATCATCTAAATCATATTTCAGCACTATATATATATATATTTGTTCTATATTAATATTTTGTTTATCTTATGTTTAAAATATTATATAAACAGTCTTAGACAGAGGTGAACCTATTTAGTTTTGTGAATGATCATCTAAATCATATTTCAGCACTATATATATATTTGTTCTATATTAATATTTTGTTTATCTTATGTTTAAAATATTATATAAACAGTCTTTACGTATACTTCAATATTTAATATGTATATGTGTGTGTATATATAAATGTGTTTATACACACACACACATACAGTGTATCTATATACACTATTATGGACAAAAGTATTGGGACACCCTTCTAATGAACATGATTGACTACTTTACTAAATTCCATGAGTACAAATCTTAATTAATGTTTAAGCATATAATGATATTCTAGGGAATTGTGTGCTTCTAATTGTATAGCAACAGTTTGGACAGGACCCTTTTCTATTCTAACATGACAATGCCTCTGTGTATAAGGCAAGATTAAAAAAGAAATGATTGATTGAGTCCGTGTGGAAGAACTTGACTGGTCTGCAGAATCCCAGAATCCCTCTGGTGTGACTTTAAATGCAGACCTTGAGCCAAAAACTCATCACCGAACACCAGTGACTTGTACATACACCATATGGACAAAAGTATTGGAACACCCCCTTCTTTAGAACAGAAACAGACACTTCCAAAACTGTGGCAACAAAGATGAAAACATAATTCATGTATTTAAAATAAGTATTTCCATCTCTGTTGCAACAGTGTCTAAAATGACTGTACATGGGTACAGTGTGTGTGTATATATATATATAAATACACACACATATATATATATATATATATATGTGTGTGTATGTATTCTGATTTTATTATTTACAATTTTACTTTCATCTTATATTAAAATTAATGTTGTTTTAATATGATATCAGCAGCTTTGTTTTTGTTTTGTTGTGTAGTTGAATAATGCGCAGGAGTCAGCGGAGGTGTTTCAAGAAGCCGCGGATGCGCCTCCACCGTACAGCAGCATCACAGCGAGTAACGCAGGTAACGTGAGTGTGTGAAATAACTACTGCGTCTGTCATTATTCCTAACCGTTTCACTCTGTCTGATGCGTTTGCTGTAGCTTTCTTTGAGTACAAAGAGGATGAGGTTTACCCCAAACCCCCCTCATACAATGTTGCCACGTCACTGCCGTCATACGACGAGGCTGAGAGGAGCAAAGCAGAGGCCACCGTTCCTCTAGTCACCGACAGGGTGAGCGTTTGTGGCTGTTTTAGGAGTAATCACAGTTAATTAAGCACTCTTTTGACACATCCGTGCTTGTTCCTCTACTACAGGATGAGGACTTCATTGCCAGAGACAGCTTTGATGATACAGATCAACTGCGGGTTGGGAACGATGGGATTTTCATGCTTACGTTTTTCAGTAAGAGCACACAGTACTTTGATGCAGAACAGTTGTTGTTGTGTCTTTGGTTTATTCTTTCTCTTTATGATACACTTAGTCTGCTGTGGATTATGGATGGTATGGGTGTGCGTTATTTAATGTGTGCGATAATATCGTAATTGTTCTTTTAACAATATATGACCTGAAATTATGGAGTATGTCAGTCGCATTGCAAAAAACAAACAAAAACACGTCTTGAGAGTCCAAAAGCATTCACTGCATGATGAAGCCTATTAGAATGCAGTTAGAATGAGCCTATAATTCAAGTTATGTTATATTTATATAGTTAAGTAATATCACCCAAGCATCAGCTGTTTTCCTAAATATTAGCATGTGATCGCAATCGCAAATGTGATATTAATTTTATACATCAGTTCAAAAAGGTTAATATGGAGTGACACATTTTTTGTTTATTTTTTCTGTTTCTCCTACGAAAATAGTTCCAATCAGAGCCAGAGCAGAACATTAAAGGCAGAGTAAGTGATTTTTCAAAAACGCTTTAAAAACTGATTCGGGCCGAATCGCAAAACAAACTTGTAGCCAATCAGCAATAAGGGGCGTGTCTACTCATGATGTGGAGGAGAGCGCGTTCAGTGCATGGGACGGACATTAGCCGAGCCGAGCGACAGAAAGATAGAGATGGCGGATAAAAAACAAAAGAGGAAAACGTCTGCGGAACGATAAGGCAAGAAGTAGGACCCGTGTAAATATCGGATCAGCTTTCCAGCGCTGGAGAGAACTCAAGGAGCGGAGGCCTGCGATCGGACGCCGAGGTTGCTTTGTTTCTTCTCAATAGGTGAGTAACACCGTGTCTACAACAGCTAAAGTCTGCCTACACTGGACGCGATCAAACGACCGTTGAAAACCATTTGAAATGTGTGTCAGCACGTCATAAATAGAACCCGGCAGCAGTTTTCTGTCGGGGATTTGTTGCGCCGCGCCGCTCACGTCCGTAGACACGATGTAACATTGGTTTTGCTTTGTTTCACAGAACTAATCGTTGCCTGGGTTGCGTACGTATGTGTGGGGCGGAGCTATCAAAATAGGGGCAAGACCCTTTTGGGGTAGGGGCGTGTTTGTTTTGGTGATTTCAAATATAAACATTGGCTACCAGAAATCCCTTACTCTGCCTTTAATGCGTCTCAGAGCAACACTGTGCTGTTTCGTTTCTGAATGAGTTTTTTTGAACAAATCATATGACTGTAAAGGCAGTCACTTGCTTCATTGCTAAATGAATCGTTTGAAAGAATGAGTCAATGAATCGCTCATTAAGACAGGGACTTGCAGCCACCTAGTGGCAGTTTTAGTGTCATTTATTTATCCATAACAGGCCTAATCCAGCCAAAGTACCAGCACAAAAACACACTCAGCAAAATATAAATTTTTGTCATCAAAAAAATTGCATCAGATATGTTAATATCTCTTCATTTCTTTGCGTCATCAGTGGCGTTCCTCTTTAACTGGATTGGCTTCTTCCTGTCCTTCTGTCTGACCTCGTCTGCGGCTGGACGCTATGGGGCCATCTCTGGGTTTGGACTGTCTCTGGTCAAATGGGTCCTGATTGTCAGGGTATGACATGTTCCATATTACATCATATATGCTTTCAAATATTTGTTATATTATTTGTAATTTCATATTATTATTTTATTAGTGCTTTTTATTAGAGGATGAACAACACTCACCCTTTTCTTTCTGTGATTAAACAGTATTCTACCTACTTCCCTGGATATTTTGATGGCCAGTACTGGCTGTGGTGGGTTTTCCTTGTTGTAGGTGAGTGCATATTTGCATGTTAGTGTAAATAAATGTTTTTATTGCACTGATTCATTAAAAATAATTGTTGAAGTAAACGTTTTCCCAAAAATAAAAATGTTATGACCGTTTACTCGCCATCCAAGATGTAGATGAGTTTGTTTCTTCATCATCCTGGATATTTTGATGGCCAGTACTGGCTGTGGTGGGTTTTCCTTGTTGTAGGTGAGTGCATATTTGCATGTTAGTGTAAATAAATGTTTTTATTGCACTGATTCATTAAAAATAATTGTTGAAGTAAACGTTTTCCCAAAAATAAAAATGTTATGACAGTTTACTCGCCATCCAAGATGTAGATGAGTTTGTTTCTTCATCAGATTTGGAGAAATGTAGCATTGCATCAGTGTCTCAGCAATGGATGCTCTGCAGTGAATGGGTGCCGTCAGAATGAGAGTCCAAACAGCTGATAAAAACACCACAATAATCCACACCACTCCAGTCCATCAGTTAATGTCTTATGAAGCCAAAAGCTGAGTGTTTGTAAGAAACAAAGCCATCATTAAAAAGGTTTTAATGTTAAAAAATTTTCTTCCGGCTGCGTTCTGTAGTGAAAACTCGTCTCTTCTGAATCAGGAGAAAAAAAATGCACAGCTCAAAACCAAAACATCAAGCCAAAACGGTTCTAAAGCATGTGAGAGGACAACAAGAGATGGACTGTTTCACTGGAGGAAGCGTTATGAATTATGGACTCATATTTTGGCCAGAAGTTAAAAATGTCTTAATGATGGATTTGTTTCTTACAAACAC